CTGAAGAAGCAAGTGGTGTAAACAGTGAATCTCCTCCAGATAACAGCGAAGCAAAAGCCACAGGTAGTTGGACTGAAACAAGACTGTGGATAAGGCTCTCTACCCTGTCCCAAACAGAAGAGAAAAGACAGCAGAATAGCTTCAAAACCTGTAAATGAATGGGGGGTGGGGGGGAAATGAACTCATCACCCAGACAGAATCCTCATGAGGAAGAAAATGCAACATCCATTTTATTGCTGATATCTAGAGGAAATGGGATAAGCTTACATGTGCCTCTGCAGATATTCCAGAACATTAAAGCCCAAAGAAACATTCTCTGACCAACAAATCTTGGCATAAAATACATCCAGCATTTGGAAAAGACATTTTAGAGTCCTTGCCCATGAGTGATTCTTCCCACATAGAATGAAATAAAGGGCAAACCACACAAAATTAAATTAACCTTAAAGACTTATAGTGCAAAAATATGCAGGAAAACTGTCAGAACTATCAACATGACTTAGAAACCCACACTTCTTTTGAAAATTAAATTTAAATAACCTGAACGAGAAGTTTCTTGAAACTTCTGGAATGGCAGTAAAATGAACCTCAGAGTGAGTTTTGCTTTGAATGGGTTTTTACTTTCATCTCAGAAGGTTTTCCAGGTTAAAAAAATACTGCATTCAAAGAGCCTATAAAAAAACTGAATAAACCTAAGCAAATAATTCTCAGAAATATATGACAAGATATGCAAAGACAGATTCAGAAAGATTTTCATGCCAAAACCTAACCTTGATGTGATATTAGATTGTATGTAAACTTATGTAATACATTGACTTCTGCAACAAATGCATGCATCGTGTGTCTTAATCTTTACTTTTTGCGTGCTCTCATGACAGACTGTCACATCATAAAAGTTAGACAGGAACATCACCAAGAGACCAAGAAATATAAAAGCAATAGAAAGTAACAAACATACAAATAAATTAAACTCTTTGCGGAAAGAGGAACTTCAAATTCTTGCCTCGCAAACCTTGCAGGGAAGATACTACTGAAGTACTACCACAGCAGTGGCAGCAGCTGCTGTCATTTATGCAAACTACATTCTGTCTACCCACAAAAATGACCTGTTAAGTAGTAGCTTTGCTGAAAGCTAGCATTCATATGCTCCTTCCTGCCACACGCATGGGTTGTTTCCCACCCCCCAACTGCCTGGTTGGCAGTTATTTTTCATCACTGGACTTCCACCAATTTTTCAGTGATCTTACTGGTAACACCTCAGTGAATGACCTTATCCTGGCCCTGCACATCCCACCAATACAGATTTTTCACTGAACATTTTTGTTATCAAACCATTCACAATTTCATTTTTACCTGCTACTGCATATGTGTTTGTGTATATATATTTATATGTATACACACATACATACAGTTTTTGAAATATAGTGCTTTCACATAGAGATCCTTCTAATAACACAAGAATACCAACAGAAATCAGAACTGAAAAGTCAAGGCGACTTAAAATCAATTCGTAGCAATGTTGTTAAATATTGGCTCAAAATAGGGTAAGAAATTTTTAAAAAATTACATTTTATTTCAGTTTTTCTGAAAACCTACATTATAATATGACATTATAATAACATTAAGCAACCAAGATTAAAGATGGTTACTTTTTGTTAAATCCTTAGCTTCTAGTAGTAGAAAAGAACTTCTTAGCCCTACAGTGCTCTGAAGCTTCCTAGGAGAACACTTGTCCTAAAACCTTTTGTTATTAATAGTAGAATTTCATCTGCATGTTAATACAGAATGACATTAATAGCCTTGAGACAAAAATACCTGACTTCCCCATGAAATAACTTCATTACAAGAATGAAGCTATTGATAAGCTTTTAAAGAAACGCAGCACAAACATTTTGAAAGCCACATGTGCACTGACAAAGCCCATAACTTTTAGCAAGATTCAATTCTCTGTCAAAAATTAATACTCTTGTTATCAGTGGTTCTGATGAAGATTTGATGGGAATAAATGTAATCCACAGAATACTGACATTGCTGCACTTCTGTCAATTTAGTAAATACTTCATAAGGAAGTAACTATACATACAAGACCATCACCACTGATCTAAATTGTAATGTCAGAGCGAGTTATGTCAGCTTCTTGAGGATCAGAGTACATGGTTTTACTGAATAATTTGCCTAGAAGGTTAATATCAGGATACTTCCTCAAGTACACAATATTTGTTTTGTTTTAAATCCACCACCAAGCTGTTATGAAAAGTGGTAAGTTATGCAAAGCCACACCTAGGGGAAACCAATATTGAAAGGAGTCAGTTTGTTTTACAAATGCTTTACAAGCTATGCAAACTACAATTCTGAAGTAAGATTGAGATGTGATTAATTTACCTTTGTATTTCCACTTGCTGGTTGTTTGACAGTACCGCAGCATTACTATTGTCAGGAACACTTGCTTGCTTTTCTTCATATTCTCTCAGTTTCTCTTTCAACATTAGTATCTAAACAAAAAAGTTATCTTTTAGTTTGAATATAGTTGTTTGGGTTCCGTTTTGGTTTTTGGCTGGGGTTTTATGGTTTTTTGTTTGTTTGTTTTTGGCCCCCCCCCCTTTTTTTTTTTAACCTATCATTCTGTACTTACATCTTGAAAAGCTTTACAAATGGCAGTAGGCCATTTGCAGGAGCAGTAAGACTCCTCTTAGAAGACAAAACATCTTTCTTACTTCAAAAGACTACATGGGAGAACTAGGACAATATTGTCTAATAGGTTCAATCCCATAAACAGTTTTTTTATATGCAAAGTTATAACAATATTACAAACTTTTAACAACAGGTTTTTTTACATACCTCTTTCTTTTGTTCGTTGCAAATTTTAACATACTGGCTTATGTGACTGTCAAAATTAACAACATTGCTCTTTAACTGTTAAAAAAAGAAACGAGTTAGAATTTAAGTAGGTCCCTTCATGTTTTTCTGCATAATAAACACACTAATGAATAAAATCCTGACTTGCCCAACAAAAATTACTCAGTTTTTGCAGTCTACTGTTGAATACTCATGGCCATGTCATTTTCCTCAACAAAACAATAAAAAATAATTACATTCACATGTGCAAGCATATTTTGAATTTATTCAGACTAGTTTTACTAATTAATGCTTATCTTGTGCATTTTATTACAAAAGCTATCTTTAAGCATGCAACAAATAGAAACTACAGTCCACCCCATATTACATAGAAGAAATTAGGAGCTGCAATACCAAGGATTACCAAAAAAAAAAATCAGAATAATGGAGAAGACAAGACCAGTATCATTTCATTTATCAATATAATCTCATTGAGCCTCTTAGCTTCAGATGAATTCTACCTGTAACAAACCTCAACCATCTCTTGTACAACTGCTCAGACACTTCTTTAATACACTTTACAGTTCTCTGTGAAAGCAACAGGAAGATACTGGAACTGGCTGTGAATTCTACCAGCTGAGGAATATTTCTATATTTGATGCTCACAAAACAAACTGTCTCAAACTGGCAGTGCAATCCCACTAATGAAGCTATGTTGCTTTTAGGCCAGAACTACTACCTACTCTATCTACTACATCTCTCACTCAGATGATGAAGAGTTGACTGCAAGAAAGAAGAGGTAACTGGATAAAACTGAGACCAAAGTGAACTCCTATATTTAGTCTCCTAAAAGAAATAACTCTCCTTCTCATAATACTTTATTATACTTTGACAAAAGATCAGTAAATACCAACATACTCACAGAAGACTTGATATCCTTTGCTCGGTTTGCATACTTAAGAGTATTATAAGTATCATCATAGAACATAGAAGATGGACTAACAGCAGCTATCATTATTGTTCGGCAATTTCCTCCAAGAGAGTCTTTCAATAAACGAGTAAGCTTGCTGTTTCGGTAAGGAATGTGCTGTTTCTTGCTCTAGAAAGAGAATTATATGTATTTTTATGGATTAGTCAACTGAACTTTAAATATTCACATGCCTAATTCTGCTTAGAACTTCAACGATGTCACAAAACGCAACTAACAGCCTTGAAACTTTAATTTGACACAAGTAATTTTTCACAAAGTTGCAGATACATCTCAACCCATTTTAAATCTCTTGGAACTGTTTAATACCTTTATAACGCATGTCTTAGCCAGGTTTCTTTCTGATGTCTGGATAAGCAAGAACTATTTTTGTGATGTGAACAACTAACAAAGTAAGACTACATTAAATGACTTTCAGGTCACAGAATAATAGAGGTTGGGAAGGACCTTCAACAACCATCTAGACCAATCCTTCTACTCAAAACAGGGTCAGCTAGAGTAAGCTACCAAGGACTACGTCCGGTTGGATTTTGAGTATCTCCAAAGATGGAGATTCCACAACCTTTCCAGGCAACTCAAAGTCTGCTTTGCCATCTTCATCTCACTATACAAAGTTAGGTCACTAGGACCCAAATCCCACACCAAATAAGTCAAATTAAATAACGTTACTTATGCCCACGAGGTACAGATTTTAAATTCTGCCTCCCACTCTAACAAAATGGTGATGAGAATGGGTGACACCAGAAAAGGAAATAAAAAGCCCTGGTCATTTTCTCTGTGCATATTTGAAAAGAGAAATTGCTAGCTAACCAAAAGGACAAAAAGGGTGTAGCTGCAGGCAATGGACTTGACTTTGGCAAAAGGTCAGGAGGTCGTCATTCTCCCACACAAATGTCCCCACTCCTTTCCTTGAGCTGGTAAGCCAGATCAAGAGACTAACTTACTACTTTTAGAAAGGCATATAGTGACAGGACAAGGGGGGGTGACTTTAAATGAAAAGAGAGTTAATTTAAATTAGATATAAGGAAGAAATTCTTCACTACGAGGGTGGTGAGGCACTAAAACAGGTTGCCCAGAGAAGCTGTGAAGTTCTACTCCCTGGAAGTGTCCATGGCCAGGTTGGATGGGGCTTTCATTAACCTGGTCTAGTGTAAAGTGTCCCTGGGCATGGCAGGAGGGTTGAAACTAGACAATCTTTAAAGTTCCCTCTAACTCCAACAATTCTATGATACTGTGAACGTGGGTTGGAGGGAGGGGCAGCGGGGAATGCATGCATGGGTGTGCAGATGTACGTAAGCACACAAAAGAATGACTTTACATAGGTGCTTTCTCTTATAAAAGCCTCACTCCCTAAGATTAAAGGGCATAAACTGCTGGAAAAATCTTTGTCCTTGTAAGGCTACTTATTTACTCATGCAAGCTTCTCTACATCTGCTTGATTTTGAAAAAGGTGGGTAAGAAAAGCAGGCACATTAATCTTTGACACTGTCCTTAGGTAGCTGCATGCTATTTTTGAGAACTTTTTCCCATCAGGACTGTCTTTCAGCTATCATAGAGACGATGGTGAAAATCCATAAGAAAGACTTGAAGAAAAATTATGTGAGAAGGATCAGCAATATAATCTCCATTACTCAATAAGAACTTAGTATTTAAAAAAAAATGTTTTGAGAACACTAGGAGGCGAAGACTGCATGGGAAAGCAGTACATACCTTTGGATTTGCCAAGGCATTAATGACATTTCCAAGAGCAAGCAGGGAGCGGTTAATATTTGTTCCTTCTCTAAAACGAGCCCCCTTGGCATTTGTCACATTGGCACGCTCAGATCCTGCCAGGTCAATGAGAGACATTTTGGCGATGCGAACATTTTTATTAATACTAGCTGTTTTATCTTGCTGCCTTAGATAAATCTACAATTAAAAGGAAAAGAAGAAAATAATTAAAGAGTAAGCACTAACCAGTCTTTTGTTACTTTAAGTATTAAATTGATTTTTGCAGTGTAACAACTGTTTTCAGAAATTCTTACTGGAATCCTCAGAATCCAAGTTAAACCTTTCAGTATATATCTAACACCAACAGGCAGTTTGGCCTAATGGAAAAGAGTGAATTTGTTTGAAACTTACCTCTTAAAACTCACTTCTTTCAGGTATTAGTAGGGAAA